CCCCCCCCCCCCCCCCCGCCCCCGTCGGCGAGCAGCGAGCAGCGTGCGGCAAACCTATTTGCCGCCCCACCCCCGGTGGGTGCTGCTGCCTGCACACGTGGCTGGCACGTGCTGCCTCTTTGCAGTGCCACGTGGCAGCTTGCCGTGGATCTTGAAGACCCCCTTGGCTAGGGGGCTGCACTACAGGAGCATCTGGGTGGCTGTTCAAGATCTCAACCCACCCCAACATATTTTTTTGCAGTGGCATCAGGCCAGCTGCACCTTCAAGGGCAAGATTCTGTGGATCTTGGTAGTGCTCTGCTCTTGGCCACCCAAGAGCTCGGTATCACCATCCTACCACTAACCCTTTTTCCCCTAACCTTCTTTTTTTCCCCCCCCCATCATCTAATCATCTTTTCTCCCCCCCCTACCACTACTCTCTACTCCTACCTCCCTCTCCACTCATCTTCCACAACCTTTTTCTCTCCTCTCCTCCCCACTCACCATCTCCCACTTATCTCATCTACTCCTCTCCACCTTTTCCATATCCTTCTCTTCCATTCTACCACTCTCCTCTCCTCCTTCCCTCCCCCAACTACAATCCCATCACCTCCCCCATCCCCCACTTCACTTTTTCTCTCTTCTCACCTATTTCTCTCTTTCTTCATCACTTCTCCATCCCCCCCCACCCAACTTCGAATTTTCTGTTTTTCTCCTTTTCTCTTTCTCTTTGATTTCAATTTTTCTCTTTTCCCCCAAAAATTCGAATTATCTTATTCCCTACTTTTTTTTTTTTTTTTTTTTTCTCTGAAAATTTGAATTTTTGTGCAGCACCTCTATACCTTGCTAGGACTTAGTCTTTTCTGTGGTCGGCGCGTATTTTGACTTCTTGGGGGTAGCGAAGCGCTGGCCAAAATTTCCCATTTTACTTAGTTTTTTTCTTGACGGCACACTTCGACCCCATGGGGTTAACGAAATGCTGCCGAAATTTTTGAAAAATTCCAAAACTTAGTTTCTCTTCACTCTCCTCCACCTCCTTATTTATTTATTTATTTATTATTAATTATTTATTTATTTTTCTGAAAATTTTAATTTGCGGCATTTTGAAAGTTCGTGTGCTCCTCTTGCTCTTTCCTTCCTCTTGTCACATTTTTGACCCCATGTGGGGTGGGAAAATGCTGCCGAAAATTCCAAAAAAATAAATACTCTCTTTCTCCTCACTCTTTACATTTTATTTATTTATTTATTTCTTATTATTCTTTTATTTTATTTTTATCTTAAAAATTCACTGTTTATTCTATTTTCTCTCCCCCTCCCCTCTACAGTTATTATTTTCCTTTCTTGATTAGGTCGCCGCTACCCTCCCCTGATCACCTAAACTCCGGTTAGGGTTTTCTTAGGTTTTTTCTAGGGTTTAGGGTTCTCCTACCCCCCCCCCTACTCTCCCGCCTCCTCTCGTCGGGCACCCTGGACCCGAACGACTCCTCTCCCCTCGACCGGATTCGCACCACCATCTCACGCGCGACCCGCTGGTAACGGGGTGAGACGGCCCACAACTACCCACTCCGCTCTCGCGGTCCCCTCCCTCTCACCGATGGTCCCCTGTCCCCATACCACAACCCATATCTTCCCTCACCTCCCACTATGTCTACTTCTCATCCTCCACCTCCCACGGAGAGCGCTACAACCGAGGAGATCGGCTCGGCGCAGTCCATATCCCAGGTCACCGCGCGGTCAGCGGCTCATGATCAGGCTCATGCGGACACCATGGACCTTCATGTCGTCCTTGTAGCAATCCAGGCGCAACTTAGTACGCTTGGACCATTGCAAGCGCAAATTAATGCGCTTGCCCTTGACGTCAACCGCCTCAAGGGCTCTCCCCATCGCTCTCCCCTCCACGCTCACACCCCATCCCCTGCCGGCTCACCGCCCGGTTCCCCACGACTCCGGCGACATGGACGTGGTGGTTCTTCCTCCCCTGTGGCTCAGACCCGGCACTCCCACTCAACAGTGGCGGGTGTCGCCGCCGCTCAAACCACCGCGTTTGTTGCGACACCTCCCTTGGCACCTGCCGCCCCTATCGTCTCTACTGCTGCTGCAGGTGCTGCGGTCCAGATACCACCATCTGGCCCAACAGTTTCATCGACCCACACCGGTGCTGCTTCCCAGCTTCCCACATCGGTCGCGGCATTACGACTCCGCCCTCTTCTTCCCGCTTTCGTTCCCCTACCCCCACAGCAGGGTACCACCCAGGTTGGGACTCCTCTTCCCACTGGGAAACCCACTCCGCCTCCTCCACCTCCGACCCCGTGCACCCAGCGAGTGACCACTTTACAGGCCACCATTGCGCAGGCTCAGGCAGAGATCCTGGCCCTGAGACAGCCTCACCCTTCAGAGGCTGCTCACCCTTCTTCTTCCTCCACCACCTCCTCGACCCCCATCATGCCGGTTCGCTTCCCTCGACCGGCTCCTCAGCCTCTCCTCTTTTACCTAGCCATTCCGGGACAACTGCCCTCGGTCGTTGCCTCCTCATTTGCTGGCCCATCCGCCAACGGCCACGACCCACAACCTTCCCCCACCTCTGCCCCTGCAGCGGCCCCGACTTACGCCGCCGCAGTGCACTCGCCTCAATCTCTCTCCCCCCGCCATCAGCACAGTGGACATCCTCCTGTGCGCACCATGGACATTCCCGAGTATGATGGCACATCCCCGGTCTCTCGCTGGTTGTAGATAGATAGCAACGCGCACACTCTCTATGACGACCACCCGTCAGGAGTTGTGGTGCGATGTGCTTGCAACCAAATTGCGAGGTAGCCCTTCCACCGCGTGGGAGGACTATTATACCCAGCGCCTCCGCGTGGGTGAGGTCTCTTGCAGACTTCGCGACTTTCCTTCAGGACCGCTTTAGCGCTCGTCATGACGCCACTAACGCTTTAGACCGCGTCACCCAGACCCGATGGTCTGGGTCCTCTACACCGGCTGACCTCGATTGTCACATCCGGGTGTTTCAAGATGCCCGCATAGTTTGTGATGAGACGTTCCTACCAGAGGTCACACTCACCAACCGGTTCCTCGTGAGTCTGCCGACTGACTACCGCTTAGAGCTATGGAGGCGATCATTCTCTTCCGCGGAGCAGGCATACGAGGCTGCGCGTCAATACCAGAGGATGTGTAGTCGCTTCTCCGTCTCCCCATCCTCTTCGCAGTCAGCCGCCACCTCCCAGTCTCGCGGTACTACCAGAGGCCGCTCCTCTTTTGCTGGTTGTTTTCGTCGCCCGGCTCGACCTGGAGCGCCATTCTCTCGACACTATAGTTCTCTCGAATATGGCGAGGACGCTTCAGCCGATCTCGACCCTACCACTGGGGACGCCCCCGAGGACATCGAGCTTTGGGACGTCATCCAGTACCACTTGGATGACGACACTGTCCCAGTGGCCGAGCGCCTGCGGATGGTCATGCCTGCCATGGGTCGTGCGCGCAGTCGGGTTGCACAGGCTGGCGCCCGCACATCCACAGTTCCTCAGATAGACCTCCCACAGGGTTTTGTCCTTCCTCGCGAAGCTCTATCCCCTGAGGAGCGTGCCGCCCTTGAGGCCCGACGTGGCTGCCTTCGTTGCTGCCAGGATGGACACACCTCCTCACGGTGTCCATACCATACCGCCCTCAATCGGCACTACGCTGACATCTCTCGTCAGCGTCGATCTCAGTCCCCCCCCGGCCCCGCCCGGCCAGCCCCACCCAGCTAGCCACGGTGCAGTGGACCACTGAGGCCTCACACATAGCCAACTTCCCGACCACCGAGTCGCGGCTTGCCCTTTTGGCTACCCCACCAGAGGATCCTCACGACACGACAAATGCAGTTCCTTCTGCCTCGTCGTCTGTCGAGGTACCGTCTGCCTCATAGCAGACCGCCGCATCTAGTGCTTCCCCTCCGAGACTTCCGACGCGTCACGCCATTCGCACAGCCCGTTGTAACGCTCAGCTGGCGACTCGCGATGACGTTGTGTCATCTCTCCTGGACTTGAGCATTCTTCAGGCTCGACAGGAGCAACTCACAAGACACGTCAACGTCCTGCGTCGTCTTCTCGCTCTACTTTCTGACTCTAATCGCACCCTACCCATTATCCCTATTCGCCTAGGAACAACTACGAGTGTGTACCGCGCTTTATGGGACTCTGGCTCGCAGGGAGATTTCGTTCACCCTCGAGTGGTTGAGGAAGCTCGCCTAGCTACCTCTGGGTCCCGCTCTCCTATCTCCGTTACCCTCGGAGATAACAGGACACAACGCTTCTTCGATCAGACGGTCCCCGACCTCCACTTCTCCCACACGCTCCAGCCACCGGATAGTACCTAGGCGCCTCGGCACTACCATTCCTCTGCATACTTCGACGTGCTGGAGACTGGGTACGACTTTATCCTTGGCACTCCCTGGTGTCGCCGGTTCCGTAGCACAGAGGCCGAATGGGCGACCGAGACACTCGTCCTCAAAACGAAGTGTGGTCAGACCCATCGCGTCCCCTTCATTGGAACCACGGGCGACACTCCTCCCGACCTACCTCCCCAGGACCCTCGTTCCTCAAGGTCCCACCCTGACATCGCCTTCACTTCCCCTCGTCAGTTTGCTCACTTCATACAATAGGAGGACGTCACGTTCTACTCAGTGAACGTCATGGATCTGCTTCGCTATGATCCACTCTGTCCCGAAGTTGAGCTCATCTCTCTGGAGCCGATCCCCCTGACCCTTCCTCCATCTTCGCGGCTCCCATCTCTATGTCCACCCGTGATCCTGCGGATACCCCCTCCACGTTCCAGGCCCTTGCGCCGTCGACTGTCGAGTCCACACATACGTCTCCTGCCGACGCAGACATTGAGGAACTCACACGGTTCACGGAAGACTTTAGAGTCCGCCGTTCGCGACCTGATTCGAGAGTACCGCGACGTCTTTCCTCTGTATTTCTCATACAACAGGATCCCTCCGATGCGTGGTGTTGAGCATTCCATCCAGCTCGTGCCTGACTATCATATTCACCATCAGGCACCATACCGACTCTCGATTCCACAGGCAACGGAACCCAAGCATCAGCTTGAGGAGCTCCTTCGACTGGGTTTTATGAAACCCAGTAACTCCCCTTGGGGTGCACCTATCCTCTTTGCTCGCAAAGCGGACGGAATTGTCCGCTTCTGCATCGACTACCGCGGCCTTAACCGTTACACGGTTAAGAACAACTACCCCATGCCCCGCGCGGATGAGCAGTTTGACCGTCTGGCAGACAACCGCTTCTTCACGAAGATCGATCTTCGTAGTGGTTATCACCAGATCTGCGTTGCTGCAGAGGATCAGCCGAAGACCGCCTTCCGGTCGCGCTTCGGTCACTTCGAGTTCACGGTGATGCCATTCGGCCTCACCAATGCACCCGCCACCTTCCAGACGACGATGAACGACATCTTTAGGGGCATCCTTGAAGAATACGTTCTCGTATACCTGAACGACATCTTGGTCTACAGTCGTACCTTAAAAAACCATATCAGACACCTCCGCGATGTCTTACAACGCTTACGCAAGCATGGCTTCTATGCCAAGCTTAGTAAGTGCCGCTTTGCCCAGTGCAAAGTGGACTTCCTAGGACACCATGTGTCTGACTAGGGTCTCCACATGGATGACGCGAAGATCACTGCTATTGCAGAGTGGCCCGTCCCCACATCTGTCAATCAGCTTCGCAGTTTCATAGGCCTCACCAGCTACTATAGTAATTTTATCAAGGGATACGCTAGGTATTCCTACGTCCTTACCTCCACCCTCCTCCGGAAGAACCCGCCGTGGTTTTGGACACCCCTCTGCGAGGACGTCTTTCGCACCCTCAAGAAGGCTGTGACTTGTGCGCCGGTTCTTCGCCTCCGAGATTTTGATCGCTCCTTCATCGTCACCATTGATGCATCAAATTTTGTAGTAGGAGCAGTACTTTCTCATGTGTTTCCCTCTCCTCCTGATTCACCTTATCCCCATGTTCCTCCTTTCCCCCCCCCTCCTGCTGACACTGCTTCTCGACTAACGCCTATCCTCCCACCATTTCCCTCCAATGACGGTCCTCTCATTACTTACTCCCCGACCATCGTGGAGGATAGGACTGTTGAGGCTCGTGCTGGGCATTGCCCGATCGCCTTCAACTCCCGTCAGCTACTGTTTGCCGAGATAAACTACATTGCCGATGAACGTGAGGTTCTCGTAGTAGTTTATGCTACCCGGCATTAACGTCGTTACCTGCACGGGGCGCCCTTCACGGTGCGCACGGACAACTCAGTTGTCCAGGCTTTCCTCACGAAGCCCAAACTTTCCCCTCAACAGGCACTTTGGTGGCGTGACTTATCCGAGTTCAGTTTCACCACTCAGCCCATCAAGGGTGAAACGAACGGTGTAGTCGATGCCTTGTCCCGCCGTCCTGATCACAATCAGGAACCCATCCATTTTGTTGCCATCTCCATCACCATTGTTGATCAGTCGGGGATCGACGCATATCGCAACCAGTACCGTCACTGCCCGGATTATCGCGTCATCCACGCGACACTGCGGAGTGGCAAGACCGTTCCCTCATACTCCCTGGGTGAGAACGGTCTCGTGTACTGGCATGGCAGATCTGGTCAGCTAGAACCACGTATCTGCGTTCCCTCCACTGAATAGCTCCGTGTCCAGGCTGTAGCAGAGTTCCATGACCAGGCAACTGCCGATCATATGGGCTTCCACAAGACGTTGGCTCACGTTTGCCGCCTATACGTCTGGTCGAAGTCCAAGGACTTCGTCAAAGCCTACATCCAGGAGTGTCCTACCTGCCAGGAGGTGAACAGTGCGAACCACCTTCCGTATGGGTTACTTCATCCCTTACCCATACCCGAGGGTTGTTGGCAGTCAATCTCGATGGATTTCATAGGTCCCCTCCGCCCACCCACTGAGCATGGTCATGATGCTATCTTGGTCGTCGTCGATCACTTCACGAAGCGTGCACGTTTTATCCCATGCCGTTATCGCATTAGCGCCGTGAGGTCGCCGACATTGTCTTCGACCGAGTCGTGAGAGATCACGGCTTACCTCAGAGCATCATCTCCGACCGTAACCCGTGCTTTAGCAGCACATTCTGGCGACACCTACACGAGGTGTACGGATCCCAACTCCGCTTCTCAACATCTTACCACCCTCAAACGGATGGTCAGACTGAGGTCACCAATAAAACTCTCGGTAATATCCTCCAAAAGTTTGTTAAGGATGACCAGCAGTGAGACTTACACTTAGCCCACGTGGAGATTGCATACAACCATACTGTTTCGCTAGCAACGGGGATGTCGCCATTCTATTACGACCTCGGCTACCACCCTCGCATACCCGCGGACTCCCTACGACCATTGCGGTTGCGCCCAGACACTCGTTGTCTTGCGCTGGATGACAGGATCGCCCACATGGTGACGATTATGAAGCGTGCAGACGAGAGTCTAGCCGATTCCCAGACTCGCATGGCCGCACGAGCAAACCGATCACGAATGGATCACCCATTCAAAGTCGGTGACGATGTGCTCGTCGACGCACGCCACTTACAACTCGAAGCAGATACGCTTCGCAAGTTCAGGCGTCGTTTCTTCGGTCCATGCCGCATCCTTCAGGTCGTCGGTTCTGATACTGCCGCTAGTCCGGTCAGCTTCCGTGTGAAGCTACCTGATTACCTTCGACAGACTCGCTTACACGATATTTACCACGTCTCCTTACTGCGTCCTTATCGCAGACCATCCGAGCGCTTCGTTGGACGTCCTTATGAGCACCCTCCACCTATCATGGTGGACGGTCATGAGGAGTTCGCTGTTTCCGACATCGTATCTCGCCGAATTACCGACGACACCCCTCCACGCATCGAGTACGTTGTGCGTTGGAAGGGCTATCCTGATGAGGAGGCTACTTGGGAGCCCCTCGAGCACCTGGAGCACGCCCGGATCTTGGTGCGTGCATATGATCATGCTCGTCGTGCTGAGACATCTGCTCCTACTCAGCCGACTGACCCTCTTCCTCCTACCCCGACTGAGGAGATTGCTAAGGACGAGCCTGCTCCCCCTGAGGCCATTCTTCAACAGCAGATGGACGCCTCTGCGCGTTCACAGTGCACTCGTCGATGTCCTCGGCGTCTTGACGATTGACACTCTGATCACCTACTATCACCCTACTGACTCGCACCATCAGGTACTCCATCATCAACTTCTTCAGGATGTCAGCGTTTTGTGGCTCTGCTTCGACATCGACCTCGACTCCTACTTCATCGATGTCATCGACCACTTCGACGACTTCAGTCACCTTCTCGACTTCAGCCATCTTATCGGCTTCAGCTACTTTGGACGTGACTACTTCACGCCACCACCCTACCCTGTACATTCTCTTGCATCTGTCGCATGATGGTTCTCACTTAGCTGGGTCTCTTTGAGTTGGGCTCTCCCTTGGTATCACGTAGGCATTGGGACCGTAGCGTTATCTTGGCTTCCTTGCTCCCAGATCCAGCTCCCTCCTCCCCCAGTCGGTGAGTTGTGTGCATGTTTCCCTCACCCACTGCCCTCATCACCCTAGTGCCGACGCTTGCATGGCTTCAGTTAGGCATATCTCCACCCTATTCCAGACTCCTTCCTTTTTTTTTTAAGGTCGACCCTGCATGGTGTCATCCTTTTGTCGAGCATACCTGCCCTGATGGTCTATCTGTTAGGGTCCTTGGTTTTGTTTCGCTACCACTCTCCCACCTTGAGCCTGATGACCTATCCCACCTTCATGTGTGACTGCCCTTAGGAGTTTCGATTCTTAGGCTGCATTCACCCCCTCTGAGACCGTTCCACTCTTAGTGGTTCAGCGACATGACATTATCTTGTGACATATTGCTCTTTTTCCTTTCAGCACTGAGGCAATTGCCTCCAGGACTTTAGGATTGTATATTGCTACATTTCATTTTCTGTTGTTAGCTAGGATGTGTATACCAGATATTTGCGTTTCATTTGACATTATGTAGCTTAGGCTGCATAGCATGGACTTGACATGGAGCGTGCTCCGCATCCTAGATTTCTCAGCTTTCTTTTTATCGCAGAGTTCCGCTGCTTTTGCGGATAGCGTGTTGATGGTTTTTGCGATTCATTACAGGTCTGAGGATCGTGCATCGGTATAACCTGAGTTCAACCCCAAGCGGTATTGAAGGATACCGGTCCCGACCGGAGGTGTGTAATGGCAATAAATGGAGGGAGCGCCAACAACGAACTCTAAAGATACCAGATCAATCCAACGGGGATGGGACTGAGTATGACACTTACACGTTTCTAGAGTTTTCAGCAGTTTATTTATTTTTTAACATTTTTTGCACTTGATTTTTTTTTTTTTGACTTTTTTTTTTTATAAATGGGAACAAAGCTCCAATCTATTCATAGGGAGAAGCACGTGCTGGGAACCGGGCCCAGCGTCCCATATAGAAAATTACATAGGATTTTGAAAAACATTTGAGAGTTTGCAGCACCGGGCCACTACCTAGCTTTGGCTAGGAGCTAGATTAAGAGATACAAACAAGCTACCGAAAATAGGCAAAAATTCAGGAAACGACTCAGACCCCCCTCCATCCTCTTTACCTCACTCCGACAAGTCTTACTAGGAAACGTCTCAGAACCCCCCATCCATCCTCTTTACCTCACTCCGACAAGTCTTACTAGGAAACGTCTCAGAACCCCCCATCCATCCTCTTTACCTCACTCCGACAAGACTTACTGCAGCAGAGCCACCATCTTTGCTGCTGCTATACCCTATTTCCATCCTATCAGCTAGCCCCCTCACTTGTAGGACGCTTGATATCCCGCCATCTACTTCCAACACCAACCAGTGTCGTTCTGACCACAGATCTATGAATATAACAGCATCTCGAGACCACCAGAAACAACTGAAAAACAATTTTGAAGTTTTGGGATACCGGGGCCATTACCCGGCTTTGGCAAAGAAAAATTGGAGCCAGATTAAGAAATTACTACGGCAAAATTCAGAAAATAGGCAAGAATTCAGGAAACGCCTTGGAAAACCCCATCCATCCTCTTTACCTCACTCCGGCAAGACTTACTGCAGCAGAGCCACCATCTCCGCTGCTGCTGTACCCTACTTCCATCCTACCAGCTAGCCCCCTCACTAGTAGGGCGCTAGTTATCCCACCATCTACTTCTCCCACTCACGTAAGCAAAAGTGCAGAGAACGTCCCAGAAACCCCCATCCATCCTCTTTACCTCACTTCGGCAAGACTTACTGCAGCAGAGCCACCATCTTCGCTGCTGTTGTACCCTATTTCCATCCTATAGGACGCTTGATATCCCACCATCTACTTCCAACACCAGCCAGCGACGTTCGGGAATCAAACCACCACAGATCTATGAATATAACCGCATCAGAGAAGCCCACAGTGAGTAGCAAGAAACCCCTAGAATCCTGAAGCGACCTCAAGACCACCAGAAGCGACTTAAACAAAACAAACTTACTCCTGAGAAAAGAGACCCAAATGAGATTATCTGGAAGCCGATATAACCGAAAACATGCTGCCCCAATGTTATCAACAGACTATCATATGGCTGCCTCAACCCACATATCCAAGATACCAGGCTCCTCCAGGCCTCACACCCCGAACCGTTGGGTTACAGGGCGGCGCGACCCACCCCAGCTCCGACCCACGTCGTCCTAATACCAGCTCATGGTTAGCCACTGGACTGCCTTCCACCCTCGACAGTGCCCCAGATCTCTCTACCAGGCCTCTAACCCCCGCATACTCAGGTTACAGGGCAGCGCAACCAAACCCCAGCTCCGGCCATCGTCGTTCTGGCATCGGCCAACCCTAACCTTATAGACATGATGGCGATAACCCACCGTCGGATAATCTGCTGAAAAAACCGCGGCAACTAAGGCTTCAAAATGTCCGGCTTCCTCCATGCACCGGTCGTGCTCAACACCCCCAAACCACCTGAACACTCCCCCTGACCCCCCTCCGACAAGACTTATCACAACGGAGCCACCATCTCCGTTGCTGCTATGCGTTATTCCTGTCCTACCAACTGACCCCCTCGTCAGCAGGACGCGTCACCTCCCTCCCACTCCTCACCCCTCTTAGCCAAAAGGCAATCCAGGCAGGAGTGTATCACAATGACCAGTGCAACAACAAAACACTAGAATACCGCTCTCAGACACGTCAAAACATCAGAAAAAAACAAGATTCAACAAATTCACGAAACCATTGAAAATCTAAAAAGTTAAAAATCACTATTCGAGATTAGAGACGAAGCTTTGATTTACGATCGTCAATATGAAAAGAACAAATCGAGAATTATTCAAAAATTTTTGAGATCATTCATGAGCCCACTGCCATGAATCAGGTTTGTGGATTGTTCTTCACGAGTTCATTGGGAATCTTTTTTTTTTTTTAATTTTTTTTATAATGGGAACAAGGCTCCAATCTATTCGTGGGGAGCAGCACGTGCTGGGAACCGGGCTGAACGTCCCATATAAAAGTTGCCATAGAATTTTGAAGGAATTTTGACAGTTTAAGATCCCGGGGCTAAGAAGAATTTGATCCACTGAGAAAATTACTACAGAAACTTCAAAATAGGCAAAATTGAAAATTCAGAAAACAACAAAGAGGCCCCCTTATCAAATCCTCTTTACCTTACTCCGACAAGACTTACAGCAGCAGAGCCACCATCTCCACTGCTGCTGTACCCTATTTCCATCCTACAAGCTAGCCCCCTCGCTAGTAGGATGCTTGATATCCAACCATCTACTCATCCCACTCAACCTCTTGTTGGAAAAATAGCCCCACAGAACAATCCTGCCTCCATCATCGAAGGGAAGAAGCGCAGACTGATCCGGGTGAAGTTAGCAGCCAGTGCCCGACACTCGTCGAAATTTCAGCGCCAATCGCATCCACTACCAACTTCCTCCTTCCCAATCACCTCCGTCCTTCCCAACTCCGTCCTCGAGAGCCTCTTCTCCGCGGGGGCCGAGCACCATCATCACCCTGACATTCTTTGCCCCCACAAGAATCCCAGTCTCCGTCGTCGAGGTGGTGAACTACAACTAGCCAACGCCAATCGCTTCAGAGTTCACTCTCATCAGCCGGTACCCATCAGCCAGCTTAAACTACCTGACGCCAATCACATCTGATAAGAGGCCCCTCTAGCCGGTACCCATTGAGCAGCCCTATTTCCTCCCCCTCTCAGTCCTTGTAAAGAATCATTTGATGCCCCTGGCCCCTTACTTCAAAGCAGGTCCCCAAAAGCTCCACAAGATGCCCCGTTAGGTTTTTTAATGGGAGAAAATTGAGATGCCGGAGCCATTACCCGGCCTTGGCTACAAAATAACTTTTGACAACTTATGACAACTTCTGACGAAATATAGAACAAAAGTAGGAAACCAGCAGGCCTTGAAACAAACGACCAGAAAAATCCCGCCTCCATCATCGAAGGGAAGGACCTTATTCACCTTTCCAACTCCGTCCTCGTAAGGAGCCCAGAGAATAGCTTATCTCAGCAGGGGGCAGGCACCATCATCACCCTGAAATTCCTTGCCCCCACAAAAATTACAGTCTCCGTCCTCAAGGAAGTGAACAACACTGCCAACGCCAATCGCGCTAAAGGTCGCCCTCAACAACCGGTACCCATTGGACAGCCTAACTACCCAACGCCAATCGCATCTGTTAAGGGCTCCCCCTAACCGGTGCCCGTTGACCAGCCCTATTTTACCCCCTCTCTATCCTTGCAAAGAATCCTTTGATGCCTTCCMCCCCCTACTTCAAAAAAAAAAAAAAACCAAACCCTACGAGATGTTCCATTTGACCATATCATGAGCCCCCTGTTCAGGAGTCTAACGATAATCTAACGAGTAGAATTAGGTCAAATTAAGCAAAACAACATATCGACTCAAAAACGTAGGAATTCCATTGCAAACAAAGAAATTGGATTTATACAAGATACTATTTAAGAAAAGAAATACGAGATAATACGAATTTAGAATTATGTATTCAAAAAATGATGTTCAAATTAGATTTTGAACCTCTACCATGGGAAAATTTAAGAAGAAAATCAAAGATAGATCAGAAATATTCGAAAAAAATTGAGAATAACACTAGACAAAAACGATTATGTAAATTAAGAACTGAGAAATCCTTATTGAGATCCGAACAAAATTCTAACTTACAGGTTTCAGATTATGACTCTTGCGCCCGAAGTTCAAGTATTAAGACCCTACAAAACACGAATTCCAAATTAAGGATCAATTACATCCAGTAACCATTTGAGATCCCATGAATCAGATTTAAACAAAACTAGAAAAACCAGAGAAGACAACCACAACTCAGAAAAATCAGGGAAGAATCATGACGAATCAGAAAATTCACGATTAACTGCAGTTTCAGATTGTAAGACAGCCTGGCCACGTGCGAGTTGAATCATAATCCAGATCCAATAGAGAACAACCTCCCGTCCCTTCCACCTCAACCAAGCCACTTACCTCACACCCCTCAAACCCTACCCCTGTGTCTCAGGGGGAGGAAAACGTCCTTCCTCCCACTGCTGGCATCACGGCTCAAAGCAAAACAAGCACCAAAGACTTAAACGGCCATCCTCAATCCCCCAAAGGAAATCGAAAACAGTGTAGCACCCCCTCGCCAAACCTGTTGACGAGTCGCCACAGGGGGTTCAAGACCACCTAAACTCTACCCATACCATACAGTCGAGGAAGAAGGGGGGGGGTTCAGAAACAAGGACGACCAGATCTGCCCCACCCTCCTCCCCCCTACCTTACCACCCAAATTGTTCCCCATCACTACCCAACACATCCCATCTCCTTCCGTGCGCCACCATACCCCGCTGTCCGCCTCATCGCCAGCTCTCCCGCACGCATCCTTCACTCACCTTGCGGCCACCTTGCATCTTCAGATTCTTCACCCACCGCGTTGCCTGGCTCTTCGATAAATCCCACATCGCGCCGCCGCGTTGCCTGGCTCTTCGATAGGTCCCGCGTCACGCCGCTTCATCTCCGAACTTGCTCCAACGGGGGTGCAACGCTCTCGGTCGCGCTGCAATCTTTCCAGTTCTCGCCATGGCCGTTGCATTCCACTCCCCTCTCTCCCACACGTTGGCTGAGTTCATTGGGAATCTAAAAAGTTAGAAAACATTATTCGAGATCAGAGGCGAAACTCTGATTTGCGATCATCAACATGAAAAAATCAAATCGAGAATTTATTCGGAAAATTTTGAAATCATTCATGAGTCCGCTGTCTTGAATCAAATTCGAATTGAAAACCTAAAGCTACCTGTCATGAGAAATCCAAAATAGAGAAATCCAAAAAATTCAAAAATTAAATTCGAAAACCAGAGATCATAATCAAAAACCGGATTTACAATTATCTGAAAATTGAAATCGGGTTACTATCTTGAAGCTACCTCCCAAAAAACGAGATCAAAACGAAAAAACGGAGGTCACTCAAGCCATGAAGAGCAACAAGCATCCCACAAAACTATGGATCGAAGCATATAAACCGATCTCTCATCATGATGTGTATGTCTCCCCCAAACCTTCACCCCCTCCCTTATCGGCCCGAAGGCAACTCAGCCATCACGTGGCCACTCTCTCGGCCATCAAAAAAAGACCGAACAATAAGGACTAACGGACTGTGGCTTCACTTTACCCCTCACTTGCCATGTAGCAAGACAAAAACACCGAACCTGTTGGTGACCCCTCACTGGTAGTGCGGGGGGCAACAGACCTTCCATACCCTTCGTTGCCCTTCATCACCCGATTCTTTCGTTGGACACGTGACACCCCGCAATTCGTAGCTCTGATGATGGTACTGGCAGACCATACCCTTCGCAGCCCTTCACACGCAGCCTCTTCATAGCAGCCTCATCCTCTACGCATGATGCATCACGCTCATCACCATCCTTCCCATCATCATCCATTCACCCACAGGGCCACAGCCGCTCAATCGCCACCTCACACCACCCCGAATCCACTCCCCCCGGCATCGCACCGCTCCGCTACTTGTTGCCGTCCAGCGCCGCTTGATCCGACGTCGCATCGCTCCACCGCATGTCACTGCTCGGTTCCGCTCGGCTTGACTGCGCTGGTGGGGCGCAGCGCTCCCGGACGCGCTGCGCCCCCGGCCGCCACCCTGCAGAGATCAAGCTCGGCCTTGATTCTCCTTCTGGGCCTGCATTTTGCTTTTTTCGGCTATTATTGTTTTTTTGGAACTTAGAGGCTGGGAACTGGACCAACACTTGTCCCGAAAGGAACAAGTTCTAGTGAGCAGTATGAGGAGAAGGTATATGTGCGGGTTATGCCTGTGCTTGATACAATGTGGTTGTACTGTGAGAGTAAACCTCAAGCTACATTGTTCGTTGTTTTTTCCAAGTCTATACAGTGTGTTGTACTACCTACGGACTTCCCCCTTACCTGCCTACTACGTAAGCCTCTTCAACAACGGGCCAAACATCAGTCTCCAAGTTTTGCCATCCACTTGCACCAAGGCCTTATACGACCCCCACGTCTTGAGAAATGGCAAAGTGGCCAATGCAATCAGACTAGCTTTCGTTCACACTTTACATGCATGCAAACAGTAGCGCAGCAACTGGCGACATGCGCCCACACAGTACTCAGAGATATGGCAACCCAGATACGAGTTCACTTCCAATGGCTATGGCGACATAGCACCCATACAACTCTCTGTTCGCATACAATGGATCGCCCTGGATATCCCACACGCGACTCTTCGAACACTCACACACACACACACCGAACCCCTACTACAGCTATGGCGGCTCTGGCCGCCGCTACCCTATCGCTATGGCTAAACTTCGTCTCTCTGCCCACTTCGTCTTCGGGCTCACTGCAGACCTGCTTGCACAAGTCGTTGTGGCAGCGCTTCCGTATGGCTCACGCATGAATGAATGAATGGCTGGGCGTTGCCTCTTGATTTATACTTCTGCAGCTCATTGGTCTGGCCCTTTCCCATGCCCGAAGTGCACACAGTCCCATGCGGTACTTGCTTGACTGGACCAGGACTGACTGGGGACTGGGGCTGCTGACTCAGCACGGGTAGACTGACCACTTGCCTCGCCACTTGCCCACTTGCCTCGGTCTAAACGTGGGCAACTTCTAAAGGCCACTACTGGGACTTTTTGGAAGGCCGTAGACTTGGCCTTTCGTGACTGTAGCAGCTACGACTTTGACCCTTCTGGACTGTAGCGGCTACGACCTTGACCTTTCGGGAAAGCTACAGCTACGACTTCTAGACCTGACCAAGACTCCTACTCGACAGGTCTACAGATCGAACCCCTGCGACCTCAGGACCCTACGACAGCCTACCACTGTTACAAATACAGAAGTCACGGGTTCAACTCTAAGGGCTGACACGGATACTGTACACGGGTAAGGTGGGAACTAGGGATCGAGCCCTGGGATCTGCATCAGTTACTGCGAATTGGTGAATACCGTTTCACTCCCGCCGACCTTAATTCGAGGTCCTCGGAGAATAACTCAGTCCAAGGCAGGACCTTTTCCTTTCCTATCTCTCTCATAGGCTCTCACTATATCGGGCGCTGTCTCTAGAAGTTATGTTCTCGTGAACCAGCGGTCGTCTTCCGGCTCATGATAAGCAAACCGGACCTTGTAATGTTTCTGGGGACGACCTCTACCTCCTGTCCTAAATACATCTTCACCTATAATGTCGTCAATGTCATATCTTCCATCCATGTCCGGAGGGATCATGGACCGTCTAGATGGGAACTGTTGACTGGTGACACATGGCAGCAACTTTGACGTGTGAAATACAGGGTAGGTGTGGAGGTTGGCTGGGATCTCTATAGTATAGGACGGTCCATCCTCTGCTGCCCTTAACTTCTAGAACAGGCCACGGTCCTCTATATGCGGGCAGTAACTTCTGCGAGATGTTCTCCTCAGGTGCAAACTCTTTAGACTTGACCCAGACCAGGTCGCCAACCTGAAACTGAGATGGGCGACGGTGCTTATTAGCCTGTTCTATCATCCAGTGTTGGGCCTTCCTGAGGTTCTCAACAACAGTGGCTATCTCTTTCTCGTGTTGTATCGCGAACTCCCTGGTACCGGGCGGTAGCTTGTGAATCTGATCCCGGTTCAGTCCTTCAAACGGTCTACATGGTCTAAAGGACTTGTGCAACTCGTTGGGAGTGCGACAGGTAGACAAATGTACGTTGTTATTGTATGCGCTGGCTACCTTGGGTAACATCTTGTCCCAGTTAATCTGATCGGGTCTAATGTACATGCGCAGAACTTGCTGCAGGATTTTGTTCATTTGCTCTGTCTGACCGTTAGTCTCTGGATGGCGGCCAGACGGCATCAACAACTTAGATCCATAGACTCTCACGAGTTCCTGCCAGTTCTGGCTGGTGAAGCGACTATCTCTATCGCTAACTATGGACAACGGGACTCCATGCTCACTAACCCAAAAATCAAAGAACTTCTGTATTACTAACTCTGTGCGTGCCTCTGGAGGCGAAGGAACAAAAATAGCATACTTGCTAAACCTATTAACTACAACCATGACTTGGCTCTTGCCGTGTCTACTCTTGACGCCGGCATCCATGAAGTCAATGGAGACTGAATCTCCAGGCTGGTCCGGGATAGGCAAGGGCCTGAGAAGACCTAGAGGGGCACGCGTAGTAGACTTGTTCCTCCGACAGACTTTACAACTGCGGACATACTCTAGCAGTCGTTCTTCATTCCTGGCCATGTGTACGCGTGCATCAGATTGGCTAAAGTATTTTGCCAACCAAAGTGTCCCTCTGTATCATGGCATTCCCCTAGGATCAAACTACGGATCTCCTCACTATTGGCAACGCATAGGTGGTCTGCTACGTCAGTGTTCTCAAATAATAACCCCTCTGTAGTGTGGTAATCTGGCTCAGTCTCTGGGGCCTCCTTAAATTTCTTGAGGAGATCGCTATAGATAGGGTCCTGCGCATATGCCTGCCTAACTTTCTCTTGCAGGTCACTCCCTATGTCCAGATAGTGAACTATAGCTCCAAAGTAGTCTGATCTCCTACTCAGAGCATCCGCAACTACATTGTACTTGCCCTTAACAGGCTTGAGCTCGAAGTCATACTGGTCTATCTCAGCGGCCCATCTAGTCAACTTAGATGTCATTTTGGCCTGTGTCTTTAACCATCTAAGCGTCTCACGGTCTGAATACACTTTGAAGTGCCTCCCAAGCAGGTAATGCTTCCAATGCTTTAAGGCTTGCCTGAGAGCGTAGAGTTCTCTCTCATACGTCGAGGTGGCCACCTTCTTTGAGGGCATCCTCGCTGGCATGAACTCTACGGGTTTGTAGCCATTGCCGGCGTCCTGCTGTAACACGGCGCCTATTCCATACCGACTCGTGTCCGTGGTGACGACAAATGGCAAGGACGGATCTGCTACTTTGAGGACACGGTACTCTATCAATGCATGCTCTAATTTCTTTAGCGCAGACATACAGTCTTTATCCCACTGCCAGATTGCCTCTTTCTTGAGCAACCTGTGCAAGGGAGCGGCGATAGTAGAGAAGTTCCTCACGAACTTCCTGTAATAATTAGCTAGGCCCAGAAACAACCGCAACTCTGTCAATGTGCGGGGCGTCGGCCAATCTCTAATCGCCGCTATCTTGCTGTCCTCAGGCTTGATGCCATCTCCGTCTAACACGTGGCCCAAATACAAAACTTGTGTCTTGGCCCACTCGCACTTCTTCGCATTGATCTTGAAGTTAGCTTCCCTCAGCTTCTCCAAGACCTGCCTCAAATGACCCTGATGCTCCTGGAGGATCCTACCGAAAACTAAGATGTCGTCTAGATAGACTACGACAAATTTGTCTAACCAAGGCCTAAACAGATCATTCATACATCGCTGAAATGTTGCTGGCGCATTGGTGAGTTTAAAGGGCATCACTATGAACTCATAATGCCCATACCTAGTCCGGAACGCAGTCTTGTACTGGTCATCAGGATGAACTTCTATCTGATGATAACCGGACTTCAAATCTATCTTGGAGAAATACTTGCAACCCTGCACCCGATCTAAGAGATCGTCTATCCTGGGCAGTGGTTCAACATTCTTGACTGTGATAGCATTTAGACCCCTATAGTCTATGCATATGTGCAACTCTCCTTCCTTTTTGGGGACAAACAAAACAGGTGCTCCAAAAGGAGACGAACTGGGCCTAATCCAAGCCTTCTCAAGGAGCTCGTCCAACTGCTTGCGCAACTCCTCTAACTCTCTAGGGGACATCCTGTAGACTGCTCCCTTAGGAGTTCTACTGCCAGGCTCTATCTCTATCCTGTGCTGGATCGGCCGCGGCACTACTCCTGTCGGCGGCTCCGATAAATCTTTAAACTCTTCCAGCAGCTTGGCAATGGCTGGATCTGTGGAACTAACCTCTTCCTTAGACTCAGTGGCAGGKCTAACATACACTACAAAAACCTGATCCTCTAACTGCTCCTTTCTCACTAGTCGCGCAAACGCGGGAGCGCCGAGGCAGCAATGTGCCAGCAAGTTGTCTACTCCTGACACATGGAACAGACGGGTTGTCTTAACCTCGCCTGACGGACTAGGGAGCCTACACTCATGCTCTCTCAAGTGGAGTGTGGCCCCTGCTGCCTCTCCCCAGTCCATACCTAGGACTATGTCAAAAGGAAGGTCATCCTGAACGAGGAGAGTCAGGGAATGGAGAACTCTCTCCACCTTCCCATCTTTCTCTAGGCGAAAGTATGCATGGAATCCCTCTACGTAGTCCTCAACTCGCATCGTGTGGTTGTCTGCGAGGACACTAACTATGGGGTCTTCTAATTTCTGGACTTTCAACCCTAGCCTCAGCTTCTTCAGCGCCCTTTGGCTAATATAGCTACGGGTAGCCCCTGAGTCTCTAAGGGCCCCGACCCTACTCCTGAAAACCTCTACATCTACTAACACTAGTTGCCCTTACTATCTCTCTTCATCTTGGCCCAGGCACGCATCCTCTCCTTCAATTCCTCTGCCACGCTTGTGAGGGACGTGCCTAGAGAGACGCTGATGCAAGCAGTCTCTGGACAGCTAACTAGGCACCAGCCTACAACCTCTGCCGAAGGCTCACGTGGTGTGGGAGTTTCGTTTACGCGCGAGCTCGCTTCCCCACATGGCCTAGTAGTAGGGGCAGTTGCGACCCCTACCGGCGGCTGCCTTTTGACTCATGGGCAGCCCATCGGGCCTGTCTATACATAGGACAATATTTTATGATATGGGCACGGTCACCACAATAGATGCACTGCCCCTGCTCCATTCGCTGCTGCCAAACTTTTTGATCCAGGCCCAGATCCTCTCAGGGTCGGCCTTGTGGCCAACCCGGGTGCCAACCTCTTGACCTTTGAGGTGATCTACCACCTCGTCACTGTAGGGACTGACTAGGACCTTGACGATTTGGTGGGGGACCTTGACCCCTACCTCCCGCTTGACGGTTCCCTTGAGTCCCCTTGACCGCCAACCCCTTGCGCGCCTGACCCTCGGTCTCCCATGGCCTGGCCTCTTTGGCCCTGGCCTCCTCCTCTACCTTGCGGCCTCCCTCCAGCCGCGACAGCAGCATAGGACCTCCTCTGCCCCACGCTACTGTCCTCCTCCTCGAGGCCCCACTCAATCTGATTGTACGGGGACCTCGTCAGTACCACCTTCCTCCAATGTAAGGATCATGTGATCCTTGGCCCTAACCTGACCTGCCTGCTGGATTGAGTAGGGCTAAAGACTGTGTCTGACGACTCGACTGTCCGGAGGACACGAACCCTCCCAAGGACCGGTACTGACTGGTGGGCTGCTCGGTGTGGCACGGTAGGCCCGAAAGCTGAGTTGTGGGCTGCACAACAGGCGGTCTAAGTGTTGAGAGACCTGCTGATCGCGTCGTCCTGTCTGCGACGTTAAATAATTCCCGAGGAGTTACGGGGGATGTCCTTTAAATGCCTCCTGATCAGCAACAGGTCTAGCAGTGACAACCTTAGAGTAGGTCCAGGCTAATGACCATAGTTGACAGGATCCTGTCCGGATTCTGTAAGTCTTAGATTGAGTCAGTAGGTGAGTCAATCAGGGGGAGTAGCGTCTAAGTGGTGAGGAGTGGAACCGATTGTCTGGTTGTGCACCTTCCACCATGGTTGACACCCGTACAGGGAAGAGTATTGCCCCTTCCGAGGCCGAGCAGGCCCGGATTGCCGCCCTTTTGAAAGAAAAGAGAGAAAAGAAGGAGCTCTTGAAACAGGCAAAGCTAAAGGCCATTGAGGAGGAGGAGGAGGCGCAGAAGAAAAGATTGGAGGAGGAGATGATGTGAATTCAAAAGGAGAAGTTGATGTTGATAGAGAGAGAGAAGGAGGAAAGGAGGAAGGCTGCAGAGGAGGAAGCAGCAAGAGAGGTGGAAGAAGAAAAAGAAGAACCCCTTGAGAGAAGACGCAGAGAGGAGAGAGGGGAAGTGAGTGGCACGAAGGAGGATGATAGATGGAGGGAGAAGAAAATAAGCAAATGGGTGGCTAATTTATCTTTGGGAGAAGACGAAGAGGCACAACTGTATGTGCCGCAGGAGGAGAGGGAGGCGTTTGCCAGGGCACTGGAATTGATAGAGGATCCCCTGGAACGCCAGGCTACAGTGGATGAAAGGAAGTTGAAATGGAAGTTAAAGATGATGAGAGAGAAGAAGAGAAGGAGGGAGGAAGCCAGCAGGATAGCCGGGGAGGTCGAGCGAGTACGAACCGGCAGGCAAGAGTTGCAGGCCCAGACAGAAGTCTCTGCCAAATTAGACAAGATGATGGGCTTCTTGGAGATCTTGAGTGAGGCCTGGATGGAGGAGCATTAGGCCCGTAAGGGTCAAGAAGTGACCCTACAGGCCATGCGATCTGGGTTCAGGGAGTTTGCGAAGTGACGTGGTGGGCCACGTCGGGGCCGAAGTAAGAAGACTGAGAGATGGCGTAGGCAAGTTCTGCACTCGCGCTATCGAGACCGCCAAAGTTGTGGCCTCAACAGAGGCCACGACTCGCCCCTGTAAAGAGCCAGTCAAGTTGAAGTTCCCTGACCCATATAGCGGGAAGAAGGAAGAGAATTTCGATAACTGGGAGACCGGTATAAACACTTATGTCTTTCTACAACATATTGCCCCCGAGGAGCAGGTCCTCGTTGCCTTCCACGCCTTAAGGGATGAAGCAGCCAGCCTCGCCAGGTCTCTCGCACGTGCCGCAGATTGCGAGCACAATATGATCGCATACTCTAGACTTACCCCCCTTGCTACTTTCCTCAGACTCCTGCGCGAGAGGTTTGCTACCGTCACTAGAGGCGTCAGGGCCTCCGACAAGCTGCGAACCATCCATTCACGGCAGTGGAGGAGTGCGAGAGCACTCAAAGCTGCCATGGATGACTTGGTAGCCGTCCCGGACCACGGGGTCACTGAGACCCAGTTGGTCCAATTGTTTTATCGTGCCATACCAGAGGCCTTGAGAGGGCACTTTTTTGACAAGAGTGAACAACCCACCATGACATATGATGTGTTGAGCAGAGAGGTGGTGCTGTATGAGGCGAAGTCTATGCCAGTTACCACTTCATCCCCAGAGTTCCTACACCTGGTCAGAAGAGACTCAATGCAGAAAGAAGAGACAGACAGACTTGACTCAGCAAGTACCACAAGGTGTGTGCACATCCATAGGGCGAGGGGTAGGCTGAAGGCTTCGCTAGATTATACCGGCTCCAGCTTGGTCAAAATCGTGGTCAACGGTCTTGGTCAACACCTTGGTCAACGCCTTGGTCAACGCTCAGTCAACGCTGCAGTCAACCCCCGGTCAACTTTGGTCAACTCTGGTCAACACCTCCGGTCAACTCCCGGTCAACCCCGGTCAACGTCCGGTTAATGCCTGGTCAGCTCTCCTGGTCAGCTTCTCCGGTCGGCTATGGCTGCCGGCTTCACTTTCGTCACCACCCTTCTCCTTCCTTTCTCCCTACCTCGCCTCCTTTCTGTTCACCCCGGCTGATCGTCTCTCCTTTCACCTCCTCGGCTATGGCTTCTCTCTCACTTCGTGGGACTGCACGGGGCACTTCACAGGTAAGTGACAACCAAACTTGTATCGCTCATCTCTCTCTCTCTCTCTCTCTCTCTCTCTCTCTCTCTCTCTCTCTCTCTCTCTCTC